AAAAAAAAAAAAAAAAAAAAAGGAATTTTTCTGCAAGCCATTCCTTGCAATATTTGGAAGCTGTAATGCATACTCTAACCAAATAATATCTTGCCTATTTTATTTATGCACCATTGTTTTCTTGGTTGTGCATACATAATTTAAAATTGTTTCTGATTGTTAGAGAAAATTATAATATGTCTTCGTTACATGCAATATAAATTAGCCTTTATTACTCTCTAGTTTGCCAAAGAAAGACAAGAGAGTTGTTACTCTCTGATAAGGCCTGGTATCTCCTTAGGGCTTGCTAGAGGGATTAGATGGGGTTGAAGTTTCAAATGTCAGAGACTTTTTGTCTTAAACTTTGGCTATTACCCTGTTGACTCCTAGTATTGACCAATCAAAAGTCAGGAAAAGACAAAAAATTCAGTGGTAATAGACTTCATATCCTGAAGAACAGCTATGAGCTCCAGGTCTTCTATAAAATGCAGGGTGAGTGTCTATCAGTTCCATTAAATTTATTGTTCATCTGAGTAGAAGAGTGGTTTAAAGAGGCTAGGAAGGGTAATAGGGGCTTGGGGGGGATGGGGATGGTTAATGGGTAAAAAAAAATGGAAAGAATAAGGCCTAGTATTTGATAACACAACAGGGTAATTACAAAAAAAATAATTTAGTGTACATTTAAAAATAACTAACTTTGTGTTTGTAACACAAAGGAAAAATGCTCGAGGGGATGGATACCCTATTTTGGATGATGTGATTATTTGCATTGCATGCCTGTATCAAAACATCTCAGATACCTCATAATATATACACCTACTATGTACTCACAAAACTTTTTAAAAAGTTTATTGCTCATGTATTACTCATATGCTATATCAGTACTAAGTCTTACAGACTAATATTTATGTATTATTTGTGTTTATTCTCTTTTTTTATTGTTCACATCTTTCCCTATACATTTATCAGCATCTCTTGGTTGTAGTTAGTAGTCATAGGATAATGGACACATACTTTTGATATTAGGAAAATAATTGAAGCTTCCGGAGTTGACATAAACTCACTATTGGCACTTAACTACAAATGGGCAGTGGACACAACTTTCTTCTCAGGAAATGTTGTACTGGAATAGCTTTACTTCATTAATAGGTTAATACATGGTAGAATTTGACCACTCTGAAATCTCCATCAGAGCATTATTTTAAATTTCCATTTAATCTTTTTATAGAATATACATACTGGGGACAATTTTGGCCCCCTAGGGTACATTTGGTAATGTCTAGAGCCATTTTGAGTTGTCACAACTGGTGGGAAATGCTACTGGTATTTAGCTGGTAAAGGCGAGGGGTGTACTACTAAACAGCAGAAGACAGCCCCTTCTAACAAAAAATCTTTCAGATCCTAAATGTCAATAGTGCTGAGATTGAAAGAGCTTGGCTTAGGGTGTCAACAGTGCTGTTTGCCTGGTATTTAACTGGTTCATTTCAAATAAAGGTTACCAGAAATAATCACATTCTGTCTTTTGTAAAATCAAATTATTCATGTTGTCTGCAACTTAATGCAAGTATTTCTCTTTGCCTGTTCTATAGAGCCTGGTGATTAGGATCAGAGGAAATTACAAAAGTTTTAATAACACAGAATGAGCAAAGTAGTGTAAGCTTTAGAATGTGCAGTATATATAAATGCTTATTGAATAAAATCATCCTATCAAGTTAGAGAAGTTTTCCTTGTCCTAGGGGATCCAATGCTTACATTTCATGCAAAGAGGGTCAATTTCTTGGCAACTGTTAGAACTGGTGACATTTTCTTTGATCTGGCAGTGTTCAATGACAATTTTCCTTTGTCATCTAAGTTATCAACTTAAAAAAAATCTTCAACATACAGAGCTGGAAACAGAAAGGCAAAACTATACTAAATTATTTACATTATCCAATTAAAGAGTAACATGTCTTTTTAATGTAAAACAAGTGTTAATAAATAATAAACAAGTGTTTTTGTAATAAACAAAAACAACAATAATAACAACCACAAGTGACACTTGCAACTTTAAAAAATGGGAGGTTTACTACACATAGCAAACAGCAGAAAATAATGAAATTACTATGTATCTTGTTAAATACAATTTAAGAAGAAATTTTATGTCATACCTGATGATTTAGTAAATAAATACGTAGTCACTAAAGCATTATGATTTAGTATAACTTTTTCTCTGATATACTAGCACTAGTTGAGGAAAATGAAAATACTTTGTAATTATTATTGAGTTTTGACAAGGTGTCATGTACTTACACATTCAGTTTTTAATATGTAATTATTGAAGAAGACATTTATCTAACACTTTTGTGCCTTGGGCAGCAGCCCCTGCAATTGTAGTATCAAGCAAAATCTAATGGTAAAACAAATTTCCTAATATTTATAGCAGTAACCTTTAGCAGGTTCCTTTAGAGACATAGATGTTCAAGTGACAGAGATTCTCTTTTGCCAAAGGGGGATCATCAGGTACAAGGGAATACCTTTTTCCTACATTATTTTAGTTAGCTCCATCTTGCTTGCTTGTGTATAGATCCTAAGTGAATTCTATTGAGTCTGATGCCATCAAGGAAAAGATATGTTTTCTGTGGTCTCTTCATAATCAACTCAGTCCAACTAGGGAGACTGAAAAGCTCTCCTGCCTTCCAGCTAACCAATAAAAGAGAAATGGTGCCTGGAAAAAATATTTAGCATTACCAACAGCCTGCGTCAAACTACCATGAGATGGAAGCTACAGTAAATGAGCTCTAGTTTGCCCTGTGATAGTTCAGTGATGCTAAAAGAGCTCATTACTTTTTACCAGTGGAAGAAGTACCCAGGTGGACACAATTTTTATTTTTAAAAATTGTTTTAGAAGGCTTATGCTGTGCTCCCTTTGATTGCACATATACTAAAATTGGTACAATACAGAGAAGATTAGCATGGCCCCTGCACAAGGAAGTCACACAAATTCATGAAGTGTTCCATATTTTTAGTAATAAAGAAGAAAAGAGAAAAGAATAAAATAGACACAATAAAAAATGATAAAGGCAATATCACCACTGACCCCACAGAAATATAAACAACCATCAGAGAATATTATAAAGAGCTCTATGCAAATAAAGTAGAAAATATAGAGAAAACGGACAAATTCCTGGACACATACACCCTCCCAAGACTGATAAATTCCTGGACTATACACCTTCCCAAGACTGAACCAGGAAGAGGTTGAATCCCTGAATAGATCAATAACAAGTTCCAAAATTTAGGCAATCATAAATAGTTTACCAACCAAAAAAATCCCAGGGCCAGTTGGATTTACAGCTGAATTCCACCAAAAATACAAAGAGTAGTTGATACCATTTCTTCTGAAACTATTCCAAATAATTGAAAAGGGAGGAACCCTCTCTGACTCATTCTATGAGGCCAGCATCATCCTGACACCAAAATCTGGCAGAGATACAACAAAAAAAGGAAAACTTCAGGCCAATATCTCTGATGAACATCAATGTAAAAGTTCTCAATAAAATACTGGCAGAAGCACATCCAAAAGCTTATCTACCACAATCAAGTTGGATTCATTCCCAGGATACAAGGCTGGTTCAACATATGCAAATCAATAAACGTAATTGTTCACATAAATAAATCTAAAAACAAAAACCACATGATTATCTCAATCGATGCAGAAAAGGCCTTGAATAAAATTCAACATCCCTTCGTGTTAAAAACTCTCAATAAACCAGGTATTGAAGGAATATACCTCAAAACCATAAGAGCCATTTATGCCAAACCCATAGCCAATATCATACTGGATGGGCAAAAACTGGAAGCATTTCCCTTGAAAACCAGCACAAGACAAACCTTGTGCTCTCTTACCACTCATATTCAACATAACATTGGAAGTTTTGGCCAGGGCAATCAGGCAAGAGAAATAAATCAAGGGTATTCAAATAGGAAGGAAGGAAATCAAAATGTTTTTGTTTGCAGATAACATGATCCTATATCTAGAAAACGCCATTGTCTCAGCCCAAAAGGTTCTTATGCTGATAAGCAACTTCAGAAAAGTCTCAGGATAGAAAATCAATGTGCAGAAATCACAAGCATTCCTATGCACCAAGAACAGGCAAGCCGGGAGCCAAATCATGAATGAACTCCCACTTATAATTGCTACAAAAAGAATAAAATACCTAGGAATACAGATAACAAGGGAAGTGAAGTTCCTTTTCAAGGAGAACTTCAATCCACTGCTCAAGGAAACCAGAAAGGACACAAACAAATGAAAAATATTCCATGCTCATGGATAGGAAGAATCAATTTTGTGAAAATAGCCATACTGCCCAAAGTAATTTATGGATTCAATGCTATTCTCATTAAACTACCACTGACATTCTTCACAGAATTAGAAAAAAAAAACTATTTTAAAATTTTTATGGAACCAAAAATAGCCCATATAGCCATGACAATCCTAAGCAAAAATAACAAGCTAGAGGCATCATGCTACCAGACTCTAAACTCTGGAAAATATCACAGGCCAAACTGGAGCTCATTTACAGTAGCTACCATCAGGCTACAATAACCAAACAATATTGTAATGATACAAAAACAGACACAGACAAATGGAACAGAATAGAGAACTCAGAAATAAGGTTGCACATCTACAACCATCTGATCTTTGACAAATTTCACAAAAAGAAACAATGGGGAAATAATCCCCCATTTAATAAATGGTGCTGGGAGAAGTGGCTATCCATTTGCACAAAATTGAAACTGGACCCCTTCCTCATACCTTACTCAAAAATTAATTCAAGATGGATTAAAGACTTAAATGTAAAAGGCAAAACTATAAAAATTCTAGAAGAAAACCTAGGAAAATACATTCAAGACATAAGCATGAGCAAAGGTATCAAGATAAAATCATTATAAGCAATCGCAACAAAAGCAAAAATTGATAAAAATGGGATCTAATTAAAGAGCTTCAGCACAGCAAAAGAAACTATCATTAGAATGAACAGGCAACCTACAGAATGGGAGAAAATTTTTGCAATCTATTCATTTGACAAAAGTCTAATATCCCATATCTACAAATAACTCAAACAAATTTATGAAATAAAAACAAAACAAAAAAACATCAAAAAGTAGGCAAAGGACATGAACAGACACTTCTCAAAAGAAGATATTCATGCAGCCAACAAATGTATGAAAGAAAGCTCAACATCACTGATCATTAGAGAAGTACAAATCAAAACACAATGAGATATCATGTCACACCAGTCAGAATGGCCATTATTAAAAAGTCAAGAAACAACAGATGCTGGCAAGGTTGCAGAGAAACAGGAACACTTTTACACTGTGGTGTAAAGTGACACAAGAAATGACACCGTGGCTAGTTCCCTGGGTCTTCTTTCTGTCTCATATACCCCAGACTTGTTGCTGAACAAGCCAGAAACTCAGAAATGGCAACATTCACAGACAGCAAAAGCCCAACAAAGACCTGCTCTTCCTATCTAAAAGACTAAGAAAGGGGAAGCCTAGAAAAATAGAAAGCTTTTAGACAATAATTGTCATAGTCCAGCCAAACATCACAGAAAAATATGGTACCATCCCTGCCCATGCCAGCAAAGGATAATTGGGGAGCCTAGACATTCACTCTTAGGATGCAGTAACAAGTTGTCTAGCACCCCATTGGGAGGGTATCTGAGATGGCCAAATAGAAAGCTAAGACTTTAATCCCTGCTTGTTGTTAAAGAGAATCACACTCCTCCTGCCCCTTTGCAGTATCTATGTGAGAAGTCTGGACTTCTACCTAGACTCAGCTGTAAAGAGACATCCCTCTACCCACCAAAGAGGTTCTGTCAGAAGAGGCCTTTCACAATTGCCAAGCAATGATGAAGCCACCTCCACCAAGATGTTAATGGATTCCATGGAAGAACCTGGAACTCCCACCTATGTGCCAAAATAGAAGGTTTAAATAAGAACATGGTACAAAAACTTTTAGGTTTAAATTGGAAGCTAGTAGTTATACCCAAAATAGGAAAATCTCGAAATAAATGAGAAAAGAGAATGGATAACAATATCAAGATGATAGAGATGTTAAAATTAACTGACAGTTCAACAGTCAAAATAAAAAAAAGCAAACAATTATGAACATACTTGAATCAAGTTTAAAAATAGGAAGCCTTAGTATAGTAACAGAAAGACATAGCAAAGTATTAGAAATGTAAAGAACCAAATGACAATTTCAGAATTGAAAAGTACAATGATTGAAATAGAAAGCTCAATACATAGGCTCAAAACCAGAATGGAATGGAAAGACTAAACAAACCACTGAATTGAAAATAGAATAGTAATTACTCATTCAGGACAGTAGAGAGAAAATATACTAGAAAAAAATGAATAGATACTCTAGGACCTGTGTGACTATAATGAAAGGTTTAACATTCATGCCATTGGAGTCCTGGGTAGAAAAAGAAATGATGTTGGTACTCAAAGAAATAATGCCTAAAATATCCCATACATGGTGTAAATATAAACCTATAGATTTAAAAAGCTGGGTGAACTTCTAACAGGATAAACACAAAGAAATCCATCCCAAGACACATATTTAAACTGGAAACTAAAAACAAAGACAAATTTCTGAAAGCAGACAGAGCAAAATGACCCCTTATCTACAGCTGAAAATCACTGCTCTTATTCAATATATTTCTGGAAATTTTAGCCAGTGCAATAAAGCAAGACAATAAAATAAAATACATGCATGTTGGAAAGAAGGAAATAAAACTGCCCATATTTCCAGATCATATAATGCCTATGTTGAAAATCCTAGGGAATTTATAAAAAATAAATATAAAAGACTCTTAGAACTAATAAGAGAGTTTAGCAGTGTTTCAGGATATAAGAATACAAGAATAAATTGTATTTCTATAAATTAAGCAATCAATTCACAGACATCAATTAAAAATATAAAAACCAGCAGGGGTTGCTATCCTAGTCTCTGATAAAACAGACTTCAAACTAACAAATATCAAAAGAGACAAATAAGGACAATACATAATGGTAAAAGGATCAATCAGACAAGAAGAGATACTATCCTAAAGATATACACACCCAATACTGGAGTACCCAGATATATAAAGCAAGTCCTTAATGACCTAAAATGAGATTTAGACTCCTATACAATAATAGTGGGAGACTTCAAAACTCCACTGTCAATATTAGACATACCAATGAGACAGAAAATTAACAAGGACATCCAGGATTTGAATACAGAGCTGGATCAAGTGGACCTAATAGACATATACAGAACGCTCCACCCCAAATCCACAGGATATACATTTTTCTAAGCACCACATTGCACTTACTCTAAAATTGACCACATAATTGGAAGCAAATCCCTCCTCAGCAAATGCAAAAGAACGGAAATCACAACAGTCTATCAGACCACAGCAAAATCAGATTAGAACTCATGATTAAGAAACACACTCAAATCCGCACAATCACTTAGAAACTGAACAACTTGCTTCTGAATGTCAGCTGGATAAAAAATGAAATGAAGGCAGAAATAAAGATGTTCTTAAAAACCAATCAGAATGAAGACACAACTTACCAGAATCTCTGGGACACCTTTAAAGCAGTATCGAGAGGGAAATTTATAGCAATAAATGCCCACATGAGAAACAAGGAAAGATCTAAAATTGACATCCTATCATCAAAACTAAAAGAGCTACAGGAGGAAGATCAAATCCTCAAAACTAGCAGAAGACAGGAAATAACTAAGATCAGAGCCAAACTGAAGGAGATAGGGACACACACAAAAAAACCCTTCAAAAAATCAATAAATCCAGGAGCTGGTTTTTTGAAAAGATAAACAAAATAGACAGACCACTGGCCAGACTAATAAAAAAGAAAAGAGAGAAGAATCAAATAGATGCAATAAAAAAAGATAGAGGAGATATCAACATTGATCCCACAGAAATACAAACTACCATCAGAGATTA